GAAAGCACATAGTAATCAGCATCTTTTTGATTGCCTAGATCTAACAATGCTGGAGTCTAAGCCTTCGCCTTTCCTTTCCCTAATAGCTCAAATCTGAGTTCTACTTTTTGATCCTGAGCTCTAACCTTAGTATAGTGGTATACTTTAATCCCCACAAGATCTCTATGAAATATGTGGGTATTATTTCCCTTTTATGAAAGTAAATATTGAAACTCAAAGGACTTTAAATGATCAACCTTAGATTAATTGATTGGTGAGTAATAGAGCTTTTTTAAAGTGACCAGATCCAAAGCTCTGTTCTGGTCCATACATTATACTATATGAGGTAGTTAAATTCTGACAGGTAAATCAGTCCCACATCAGGTCTAGAGACTTCTGGTACATCTATAAGTAAAAATAACATTTGGGCAATTTACTGTGCAGTTATCAGTAATGCATATTAAATATTTCAATTTTTGTCAACCCTATGCTGATTTATTTTCCCCTCACTATAGTAAAGTACAAAATTGCATGGTTTCTTGAGTGATAACAACCCTGAATTGAATTCCAGTTTTACCATTTACTAGCAGTATAATTTTAGACACTAAATAACTTTTTTAAACTGAGTTTCCCAATTTATGAAAATGGGGTAATATCTACTTCATCATTTAGTATATCTATTCCTGTGTAATAAATTATCCCAAAACGTAGTGGCTTAGAAAAACACTTTTCATGTCATAATTTCCTTGGATTAGGGATCATGGAGCAGCTTAGCAGGGTTTCTGTTTCAGTCTTTCCTGAGAATTCATTCAAGCTGTTTGTTGGGGTGTACTCATTTGAAGTCTTGGCCAGGGCTCATCGATCTACTGTCAAAGGTGGCTTCCTCACATGTCTGTTGGCAGGACTCTGAGGGCTTCTCCATATGCTGTTTGAGCAACCCCCTAGCATGGCAGCTAACATCCCCTCAAAGTGTGTGATGACTGAGACTAGAAAGCCACAGTGCCTTTTGTGAACATTTTCAGAGTTGCTTTATTTTACTCATTAGAAAGGAGTCACTAAATCTAGTCCTAATATTTAAGGGGAATTATGCTTCATCTCTTGAAAGGCAATGTATCAGGGAATTTGTGTACTATTTTAAAACCATTATTGGTGGTTCAGCCCTAATGGGCCTGTTTCTGACCACTGCTGATATATACTCTGATTGCGCAGTTACCTTTCTATCTGTGGGTGCTCTGTCCTGCCCAGCAGGTGGTACAGGAACAGGCATTTTGATTAAGCAAGCAGCTACCATAAAAGATAGAAGTGACACTCCTTTTCTATTGATCCATAGGCAAGAGTCACAGTTGTTATAATCACTTCCTTTAGGGGTAGAGTGGTGTGGCTTAGGTTAATTTTCTCTGTACCTAGTATAGTAGTGATACTTCCCTTCATCCAAGATAATCAAGGCATTATTTTTTGTAGTCCATTAGGTAGAGGAAATACTTTCTCCTCAACTTCACAAAGTACTCTTTGGTAAGATGAGGAAAAAAACATTAGTTGATATAACTAATGAAAAGATTTTCTTATAGGCTTATGCTCTGTAAACATGGCCAAAAAAGGTGCTTTTAAGGCCATGTTCCATCTCTAAGTAGAAACCTTTGTAGAATAATGCGCTAGATGAATGAAAAGGAAGGTGGCATTTTCCTCCTCCTGAATACCAAAGCAAGAATGAAAATCATTCCTACTCTTCTCCCCATTCCTGACCTTTGAAGTCTGGGCTCTTTCAGAAAAATGACTTTTTAGAGGCCGTAGAGCACTCTGCCAACTTAACTTTAAGCCTTCTAGGTGGTTCTAATGTGTAACCCAAAGCAAAAGCTAATAGTACTTAACTATAGTACTTAACTAGTGCTAATGGCATTGGCCTTATATATGGCTCAGAGTGTTCCCTTTGAGGCAAAGGAGAGTGAAAATGGGAAAATACACCATAGATAAGCTAATTTCTGAAATTTATATCTTCACTCTAGAGCACTTCCCCGAGGTTCCAGAATTAATATTCAGCTGCCTACGTGACAACTTCATTAAATATGCTTCTTAATCTTAACATGTCCTGTCCACTATTGCTTTCTTCCCTAACAAAACAAGAATAATCAAACAAAAACTGCCCTGAGCATCTTAGTAATTGGCGATTCCATTCTTAATGATTAATTAATTACTCAGGCCAAAATCTTGGAGTCATCCATGGCTCCTTTTTCTCTCTTGTCCCATATCTAAGTCATTAATAAATATATTAACTCAACCTACAAAATATACCTAGAATCTCATTACCTCTCCCCACTTCCACTGCTACTCCCTTCATGTGAACCATGGATACCACCCACACCCTTGTCTGAATTACTCAAGTAGCATCCTAGTTTGGTCATGCTTCCACTGTTGTATATGTACAGTTGTCCATATAATAGCCATAGGGAGTCAGTGAAAGCATACAAATCATTTCATATTTGCATGTAATAGGCCACTAGTGATTTCTAACAGACTCAGTGTAAATGCCCAAAGTCATTGTAGTGGCCTACCAAGTCCTATCCAGTCTGGGTCCACAGTCTTTCTGATTTCATCTCTGTGTTCTTGTGAACTGTGTTCCAACCAAACTTCTCTTTACTGTTCCTTGTATATAATAAACACACACCTGCCTCAAGCCCTTTGCTTCTCTTTCCCTGGAGTGTTCTCTCTACACATATGCGTGCCCTACTCCTTATTTTCACATCAGAAAGACCTTTTCTGATCCTTTTGTTATCATCTCTGGCATGTAGGGTATGTTCAACAGATGCTTGTCAAGTGAGTGAAACAAAGTTGGAGGCAACGTGTGTTAGCTCTTCTGCTTACTATGTCCTTCAGCTTGCTCTTCTGCTTACTATGTCCTTCAGCTTCCCCTTGATGGTGTTTTGGTTAAGATATGGCTTTGGAGCTTACTCCTTTGAGTAATAGTATTTGGCTGAAGAAATCTCTAAGGAAGGATAACCAGTAGGCCTGAGAAGTGATAAAGTGGCAGTGGGGAAAGTTTGGATTAGGACAAGATAGAGCTAGCCTAATCACTCCCTTTGGTAGTAAAGCATTTTTCCTAGAAAAACAAAATGAGGTTTCTTTTATAACACCCAGTCTAGGAAACATTTCACACACTAAGTGGTCCTGAACAAGCCTCAGTTTAGCAAGGATTGGTTGTAGAGACAGCTTGGGTTTTTGTCCATTTCATTCATGTCTAGATGCCTCTAGAAGTTAAGTACAAGACTAGTTTGTGCCTAAGAAGCACAGTCTGTGAGTAGTAGAACTTTGGACTCTTAAGCCAAGAAAAGCAAGCTCATCAGAGGTAGTACCTGATGTCAGTCCATCATACAATACAATTCTACAGGACTTTACAGCCTCAAAATGAATGTTTTTGACATCTTATTTATCTATTCAAGAACAGGGAGCAGCTAGGAAGGCTGAGGTGGGAGGATCGCCAGTTCAAAGCCAGCCTCAGCAACTTAGGGTCTTGCAAAGTTGCTTAGGGCCTTGCTATCTCAAAATAAAAAATAAAAGGGGAATGGCGCTGGTGATGTGGCTCAGTGGTTTAGTTCCCCTGGCTTCAACCCCTGATACAAAAAAAAAAATAGGAACAGGGAGGTAGTGTGGCGTAAGAATTATCTCTGTTTGATAATGGGAATAGAAACAAAGCATGGAATTTGTCAAGAGCCAGCAAAACTGGAATTTGAGTAAAGTCCTATTGATTTTCTTCCCTACTTTGGCCAACAGTAAAGTCTAGCCTACTTTGAATTTCACTGCTATCAGGTTCCTGTAACTGGTCCAGCATTAGTGGAAAGTATTGTTAAAAGATTGAATTAGCCCCATCTCAGGCTACTTGGATCATTGAAACTGACCTAAGTTTTAGATTATAGGTACAGTTTATTTGTTCCTGTGTGATCTCTAAAAGTAGAAAAGCCCAACAGCCTCTAGGAACTCCAGAATTGGGTTCATCAATATTGTTGCAAATGAGGTAATCAAGTCAGATTCCTTTTTTTTTTTAAGGGGTGGGGGTACCAGTACCAGGGATTGAACTCAAGGGCACTTGACCACTGAAGCTACATTCCCAGCCCTATTTTGTATTTTATTTAGAGATCGGGTCTCACTGAGTTGCTTAGCACCTCACCATTGCGGAGGCTGGCTTTGAACTCCCAATCCTCTTGCCTCAGCCTCCAGAGCCACTGGGATTACAGGCATGTGCCACCATGCCCAGCAAGGCAAGTCAGGTTCTTTAAAAAAAAATTTTTTTTTTTTTTGTAATTGTAGATGGACAGAATGCCTTTATTTATTTATTTTTATGTTGTGCTAAGGATCGAACCCAGTGCTTCACATGTGCTAGGCAAGTGCTCTGCCCAGAGATACAGCCCCAGCCCTCTAGTCAGATTCTTAAGCTATTAACAAAAGCATTTGAGACACTGGTTGAATTTCCTGTTCATCCATTTCTTTCAGTCTTTCCTGGGAGAACCTAGGTCATTGATACTTAAGGAGTACCTTATCCACGCACTTGTTATTTTTATGTACCTTGATTGCACATGTTTGACCCCAAGCCTCTTTGTTTCCCTTAGGGGAGTATGTGATATTTGACATGATCTATAGTTGTTATTAGTGCAAGTATTTGAAGGAAAACCCTGGGCTGGCGGTATCAGAGATGATAATGACTTTTGTTTGCATTTTCTTTAAAGAGGAGGAAATTTAGGGCCATTGGACTTGTATCTTTTTCCTGTAAGTTGGAGAATCACCTACTTGAGTAGAACTTTATATGTTAATAACCCTGGTACCTGCTCTGATGCTTTGGTGGGTGGGGGTGAGGAATGGAATTGGCTCCATTATCCTATCTGAAATGCTCTTTATCAAAGCTGAATAGGAAGGGTGCCTAAAGGCCAATTACATTAGAAGCAAGACTCTGAGCCAGTAGGTTAGGCCTTTGTAACCTATTTAGAGTAGGCTACTGTGGTAACTGTTTTTTTTTTCTTAACACTTTTTCACAGCTGCTCCTGACATCACTGGCCATAAACGGAGTGAGAACAAGAATGAGGGGCAGGACGCCATAATGTACTGCAAGTCAGTTGGCTATCCCCACCCAGAGTGGATCTGGCGCAAGAAGGAGAATGGTGTGCTCTCAGTGAGTAGGAAGCAGCCCTGGCTCTTGGTGCCTGAGTCTCTGTGGTTGCTGGAGTTTCTACTAGGGACGTGCAGACATCTGGACCAGTTGCTTCAACACCTATACTCTTGGATGTGTACAAGGCTTGAATCATCCTTTCTAGGGTGATGAATGCTTTACATCTGAATCTGCAGGGCATTCTCTATCCAGCATGGACTATGTACATGATTTGTTAAAGCTGTCTATCTGATTACCTTCAGGATAGGACACAGAAAGATCCAAGCCTGTTTTAAATATTTTACTATTCCAGTCCATTAGAGTATGTTTTGATTTTGGTAAGATTGAAGGCAGTTATAAGTATATTCCTAGAACTCAGAAATACTGATACAACCCAAGAAGGGCAAAGGGCAAGCTTAGGCACTGGTATTGGACAATGTTTGCTATACAAAAGGTCAAAGAGAACATCTTTTCCAACCTGTGGGATGATTTTTGATGGTGTTTGGACAGTGCCTTAAACCCTCCAACTTTTTGTTTGACCAGTTTTCCTTTTTAGTAAAGCAGGTACTATATATTCCCAGATGTGGGAATAGGGGAGTCCTTTGTGCTGCTCCTTCCCCATCTTCTTCCTGCTGTAGTTTCTCATCGGGTGTTTGAAGTAGCATTCATTATGTCATCAATCTATACCAGTAAGCCTGCACTCTGTGGAAGCTGGAAGAGTCTGGAGGACTAGCACATGAGAGGCTTATGCCCTGCTTTTGTCAGAAGCTTGTTGATTTTGTTTTTGATATTGAAGGGAAGCCATCAATGATGTACTCAAAATTCGTTGAGCAAAAATGGTACTAGATACTGCCATCTCACTTCCACCAGTGTCCTGGTAAGAGGGAGGAGAACTTTACCTTCCCTTGATCACTGGCTCACCTACTCTGACCTTTGTGTGTCCCCACTTTTTTCTGCAGGAGATTGGCAATGCCTCTGGTCGCTTCTTCATCATCAACAAGGAGAATTATACAGAGTTGAGTATTATGAACCTCCAGATCACAGAAGATCCCGGAGAGTATGAATGTAATGCTACTAACTCTATTGGCTCCGCCTCAGTGTTCACCATCCTCAGGGTACGAAGCCACCTGGCCCCACTGTGGCCTTTCTTGGGAATTCTGGCTGAAATCATCATCCTTGTAGTGATCATTGTTGTGTATGAGAAGAGGAAGAGGCCAGATGAGGTTCCTGACGGTAAGAGCATACCTACAGAACAGTAATGTTGGATTTGGTTCTTTGGGGGTGGTTTCTAAACACCCAAAGAAGACTATATGGATGTTGGGATTCCCAAACATTCCAAAAGGAAAAAGAAGGAAAAATTTTATTCCTAACTCCCTACCTCTCAGATTTTTGGTTTTTTGTAGGTGGAGTGGTACTGGGGATTGAACTCAGGGGTACTTGGCCAATGAGCCACATCCCCAGCCCTATTTTGTATTTGATTTAGAGACAGGGTCTCACTGAGTTGCTTAGCATCTCACCATTGCTGAGGCTGGCTTTGAACTCACAATCTTTCTGCCTCAGTCTCCCAAGCCACTGGGATTACAGGCATGTGCCACTGTGCCTGACTCAAGATTTTTTTATATTAGGCATCAGTAGCTATAATATGCTCTTTCCCTCTTTAGGTATCCTCCAAATCCTAGGGCCCTGCCCTTTAGGCCTTGTGGTAAATGAACAGCTGTCAGTCTCCTTGTTGAGTTTTGTCTTCCTTCAATATAGATCATAAGGCAGCTGAGCTTGAAGAGAATCCAGGTTAAGCCTGGAAGCCACCCCAAGATGGTAGGCCACCTGTTCATTCAGGCAGATTTAAAGTATCTAACTGGTTGTCAGATGGTTGACTGGTATAATTCCTGTAAGTAATAGTCCCAGTCCAAGTCAGACTATCTTAGGAAAGCCATTGGAACAAGCTGCCCTGTGGTTCCTTGATTGGTCTCTTTGGTAGATTTTCATTATTCTCTACCATATGGCTCTTCTGCCTGTGTTGCAAAGAGAAGAACAGTGGCGAGTGTCTGATGTATCCCTCCTCCCAGTTTAAGATAGCTAAGTGCTAATACTTGGACCTGGAGCCCATGTCCCAAGGCAGGCCCAGGGTCGCAGAGTAGAGTAACAGTAGCAGTAGAATCATGGTGAGTCATTAAGCACTGTAGAGGTAACAGCTGATGTCTTCTCTTATTGGACAAGCCTGGAATCAGGAAAGCTTTAGGATATTGTTGTATTTTTTTGGTCATAGAGTTTCATTTTTTAACCCTTTGATTAAAACCAGGGGGAAACTATTTATGGAGACTCCTATCAGAACTTCAGATTCCTAATAGTTCCATACCCCCACCCTCCCACTCTTCCATCCTCTCATATCACTGGCAAAAAGAAAAATGCCCGACCAACCATTGCCAACACTTGCTTTGCTGCCAAGCTAGACCAGAAGTGTGTGTCACTAAGCTCAGTGCAAACTGACCTGGAGTGATGGTGGGATCACCAGTTCTGGGGATTATGTTTATGTACCCGTGGCACAATATCCTACCCCAGGGTTGACTGTCTCTGTGGCTGAGCAATAGGACTGCAGCCTTTGTATATCTGGCAAACACAGGTTTCTTGATCCCTTGAAAAGAGTGGAGGAGCTTCAAAGGCATGCCAATGACTTTTAGACTCTCTGAAAAGGACATGTTTGAGAGCACCAGCCACTTCCTTTTCTTTTCTTCTCAGCAGCTCTAAATCTCTTGTCTGCACTAAGTAGAGTATTTGAATGAGTGCTGAGATTGATGAAGAGGTTTTTGTTGACACTATGATACCTGTAAGAAGACCTGGTAGATGGATGCCTCTTTGAATGTACTTTCAGCAGTGAATTGAATGGAGGAATGGGGTGGGTGTCGACTGGAAGCAGAGAGACCTTTGTAAATACATGGTCTAGTTTCTCTGAGATAGAGGATGGTCCCCCAGGAGTTTTACTTTCCTACGCTATGAAGTAAAACTACTTCATGGATTTTCATGTATCCCTAATGGTTTTTCCTTGAGATTTCTCCCTTTTCTGCTATATATTAGGATTCCCAACACAGAGTGCACCTATATTTAGACTTGAGAGTAAAGGGAGAGAAGAGTTGCCTGGTTTTCATGTGCTCTTTGGGAGCAGTTATGCCTCCTTCCTGACAAGGGCTTTTGCATCCCTCCCACAGTGCTACATATTGCTTTGCCATATACTGCTTTTTCTCATCCTGTCCTTTGCACAGGTTGAAGAGCACACAAGCAGGAAAGAATTGGCAGAGATGGGCTCTAAAAACTCATTTAAAATTTTTTAGACAAGGCTGGCTGCTTCTCCTATGAAAGAGTGGTACATTGGCTTAGCATGTCCCTGCCACCGGTTCTGATCTTCCTCATAAGTGCCCACTTTGTTGTTAAGGATGCTATCCCAGCTTAGGAGTTCATTGGTTAATCAAATGGGGAGACCAGTTTGTTATAGGAGACATCTATGGCCAGCCAGGCTTCTGAACAGCTTCCTGGAGGGAAAGTAACCTCTTAAACTAAATTGTTATAGACAGTGAAAGAATCCTACATAAAGAGAGATGACTACAGGGTAAGTGCAAAGTTAAGCTTCTTTGCTCTTGTCTCTTAGGAATAATGTAATGCAAGCAGCTTTTAATACTTCTTTGTTGTTGACTTGGGGTGAAAAATCTGGGATTCTAGAATGATTACAGTGTTTCTTCTCTCCCTCCCTTCCTGACAGCCAGTTTGGTTCAGGCTCCATTCTCCATCTCAACATCCCTACCCTCACTCCAGCATTTTCATTCCAGTTTTCTCCTTTGTTTCTCGACCTCTTTCTCTCAAACTTCTCTGTTTCCACCTCCCTTCTTTTCTACCCTGAAAGTAATCATTAAAAAAAAAAAAAAAATGTGAGTGAGCTTTCTTATGCTCTTGCTTTTTCTTCTTTAGCCAGTTCATACTACCCAGACCAGAGGCTTATACCCTGCTTTTTGTCAGAAACTTGTTGATTTTTGTTGTTGATATTGAAGGGAAGGCATCAATGATGTGCTCAAAATTTGTTGAGCAAAAAATGATACTAGATACTGCCATCTCTCTTCCACCAGTGCCACATATACACTTTCTTCCCATTTGCTCCTTTCCAAATTTAAATGTAGATTATATGTATATACCCTTTGGGGGATGAAGAGATACATTTTATCTTATATGAACTTGGTTGTTCAAGGTGGTGAATTTTTATATATAACGATTGTGGCACTGTTTTGGCTTATTTATGCCACTTTGAAATTGGGAAGGATTTTTTGTTTTTAAGGCCTAATGTACCTTTTCTCTGTCAAATAGATTCTTCTTTCATAGAGAGGACATGGGGAATTGTCATTCTTTAAAGCGCCAGGTTCACATTCTTCATTTCAACCAACTAGGCCTGGTAGTGCTCATTATAGTGGAATATATGCCATTTTAAAATGGCTTGCAAGAGCAGTGACAAAACCTAGTTTATTTCAGATTCACTGAACTTTTTTATATGAACTCATAGTATTCCTGTAAGGGGCATTCTGTGAGTTCTTAGACTAAGTATAAAAGTAAAAATACATTTGAACTTAAACAGTTTGTGTTCCACTAGAAAAGCAAATACCGCTTTAGCTGAAAGTTGAGGTTCAGCTGCTTTAAAAGAAAAAAAAAAAAGACCCATGTCTTTTTATAAGTGAAATCTACTATTTGTATGCTTTAGTATGTTGGAGGATCAGCACCCAATAAGTTGTCTTGTAGGATTATCCATGTGTGTTTTTAGGAACATGTGAATCATGGAGCCAAATCAGAGCTTTGGTTTTTCACTTTGAGTATGTTCCTCCAAAATGTTAAACAGTCTAGCCATCCATTCATGTTACAGTTGGACACATGCTTGGAGCCCACCTGTGTTGGCTCTCTGCTAAAGTAAAGAGCAACTGATATGTGCTCTCAGGCTGCTGGGAAATGTGCTCTCTGAGCCCCCTGGGAAATGGGGCGATGAACCTGAGTATTCACTGGGGCCTTCAGTTCTACTCTACACTTTAGTGGATTCACAGGCATTAAAATTAAATAATGGGAACTGATTTAAGAAAAGTGCTGGCATCAAGAGTTTTTCACACTGGGATAATTTTCATAAGCAAGTCAAAATGACTCTTCCATTAAGTTACTGGTGGAGAAGATATTTGAGGTTTTATTTTATAAGAGTGTTTTGATATGTCTGATATGTCCATGCTCTTTTAGACACTTTAAAGAGGTCTTCCAATATTCCCAAATCTACTAGTTGGTCAAAGCATTTGGTAGCATATGAAGCTTCATGGCACACTATGGAAGTTGAAAAAGAAATGTGACTTTTAAAAACAACATCCAGAACACATTCACTGTCTCTTGACTAGGGGTCATTTTATCAGTAAGAAGTTACCTTAAAGAAAAAATGCAATAGGACCAAACAAAGGAGGAACTTGGAAGTGATCATTAATCTCTCAGTTAATGCTACTCTGCTGAAACCAGGCAAAATTTTAAGTGGATTTAGAAATATAAAACCTTTTCTTCAGTGATATGAATGCAATGATGAAGGAACTTTGACCAGAGTCAGCTCTTGGGTTGTTTTGACTCTGAAGCTATCATTTTTGGAGGTGATCCTGTATCAGGCAATCTGTTATTTACTACACATCACAGAGCACCCTTTCTAGATTATGAGGTGGGTGTTGGGAGAGGAGAGCTATGGTACCTTCAGTGGGGAAATTTTAAACATGCAGAAAACCAGTGTGTGCAGCAGCTCCACCAAGAACTTCATTCTCACCATGTGGATTCCAGAAGCATCTTTGTTTCCATTTTCCCCCAGTCATCTTCCTCTCATTTAGCCAGTGGCTGTGAGTAATTCCCAGGTGGAGAGAACAGTCATTGTTAGGCGGCTCTTTTGGCCTGAGGGTTTGGGGGTGTGTTGATGTTTGTCGGTTACTATGACTTCTTTTTTTTCCCCCCTCAATTGCATCAAACCCTTAAAACATGGTGGTAAGTGAGCGATATGCATGCTTTTGGAGTTTGTTTAAATCTCCGCTTCAGTCTATATGATGCACAGTTCATATGTTAACACTTTTCTTCAAGTTACTTCATTCACTTTCACAACTAATTTGGATTTCAGTTTGCTGTTTAATCCTCATTTACTTTGATTTTTGTACCTTTTTTCTGTAGTTCTGTTCTTTCCCTCTCTCCTGACTTCCCTTTTAGGGGTCAAGTCATTATTTTGGTATCTATCTATCTACCTACCTACTTATTGTATGACCTATAAAGGAGAGTGGTGCTGCACTTAGTAACTCAGTGCAGGAGAGGAGGGAGACAGGAGGCTCTTTGTTCTTTGTCAGTGTGAAAGTGAATCTGGGGAGAGTTTGAGAGGGCTCCTGGGATTTAGACCCCAGTGTGAATCATGGCTGCTCCACTCAAGAGGCATGGCAGCTATGCCAGAGGCACTGTTGCTGAAATACCTACATGTAAGCCCTTTGCATGTTACCATCTTGTTAGGTTGGAAAGTGACATTTCTATTCTGGCACCAGAGAATACCCTCCCACCAAAAAAGAGAGAAAGAAAAAAAGCCTGCGTTCTGAGGTGCTTGGGTTGGTTGCCTATAGTGTCATGCTTTGAAAAGAAGAGTGGCTATTGTGATTCTCCCTTCCCTGCTTTTTTATTTTAAAGTTGGGACTAAATTGGTGATATATTCAATTTGGCTTCCTTGTATTAGAATTTTGTATTTTGGGATGCATATCTAGAGCACTAAAAATACTTTTAAGTTGCTCCTGTTTTGTCTTCAAATCCCTGAGGTGCTTAGCTCCTAGCATGTAGCTGAGCTGGCTTGGCTGGATGCTGAGCACAGTAGGCTGTCGTGAGGGAAGGGTTTAGTTTGGGCTTTTGTGTCTTAGTACTTGGTATGTCTTTGTATCTTTCCACTGCGCATACACACAGCACACATAAATGTCTTGGGTGTCCTGGAGTCGTACGTTGTTTGCTGTACCTGTTTTGATAGTGTACCGTTGTTAGTAATGGACTCCTGTGGACACTGGTGTGTCGCTAGCCTATTGTTTTGGCTTATGAGTCATTGGTTTGTGGTTGGTTCTTTTTTTCTTTCTTTCTTTTTTTTTTTCTTCTTTTTTTTTTAATCCTTTTTTTTGCTCCAGTCACTTGTGTGTGCTGGCGGTGGCTTTGCCTCTCCGTTGCCTGGAAGGAACAGGTGGAGCAATGTCTCCCTCTGACAGACATTACTCCCAACATGTGCTCCTGCAGATGCCTACACTGAGATTGTAACCTCCATAATTGCTTCATGTGCACCAAGCCCCCTTGTGGAATCCTGCTGAGAGTTTTTCTAGAACCCTTCAGCAAAATCAAACTGTTCTAAATCATTTAGGAAAAACAAACTAAGAGCACTTACTTGTTTCCCTCCCCTTTGTGGATTTAAAAAAAAAAAAAAAGTGTGTATCTCTTCTTGAAAGGGATCAAGTTGCCCTTAGTTGAAACATGAAAGAAAACCTAATGAGAACCATAAAGTATCAATTTGAAAAGGCTTCTGAGCTCATATAAGCCTTTTGATTTTAAAAAGATATCTCATGGGTGTTCTGGTTTTGGCCAGGGCACAAGAGTGAGCCAGTCTTTCTATCTGAAGTCTTCTCTAGAGGGATGTCACTATTTAGCTCTCCCTGAAGTGTCTCAACATCCTCTGGTATGCATATGCTAATTGTTGGCATAGTCCAGCATGGCTGACTCAGCATTAGCTTGAACTATGATGGCTTCCTCTTCTCAATCTCCAGACTTAAAGACTCTCCTAAAGATTCCAAAAACAGAAAAACTGTGCCATTTGGGGAAGTAAGGATGTGTGGCTAAACATATAGGATTTACACATCCATTTACATTGCAGGATTGAGCCAAAACTGCATGCATTCACCACAAGAAAACAAACAGCAGGATTTTACAACTGAAATGTTGGTTTGTCTTCTCATCTATTTAAGAGTGAACCACTGGAACTTGGGGACAAGATGAGTATAATGATATTTCAGCCTGTCTGTCCACTACAGTTGCAGTTTTTCATGACAAGCATTCAAAGTGTTAACTAAAACCATTGAAACAACATACCTGCCATTAAAACTTGAATCCAGAAATAATAACTCCATGAGTGTTTTGCACCTCCAGATGGAATGGCCTTTAATAAATGCTATGAATAGCCATGTCTGCTACTTGCAGTAAGCTATCCTATTAATCCTTATGCAGAATCTAACAATTTTCTTCTTTCTCTTATTTTTCGTGGATTTATTAAAAATTGAACACCCATATAGATGATGAACCAGCTGGGCCAATGTAAGTACTTTATTGGACACTGACTTTTAATAGTTTCTGATTGAATTATCTTGTGTTTACAGTTTTGTCAAATGGAGTAGCTAAATTCTTAGGGGAAGACAGTGAGTAGAAATATCGTTGCAACATAGACTTCTTAACCAGACAAAGACTGAAGACCATTTTGATTCCCAGGACAGGTTGCAATCTTGTTTTTAGCCATGCAAGTGTATTACTGTGCAAAAAGTTGTTAAAATTTTGCACGTTACACATGCTTAACTAGACCACTATATGTGAGGCCTAAAGTTTTAATTTCAATCTGGATTATAAGATAACATGGATCAACTGGTTAGCTCCATTAACAATTACTGCTATCCAAGAGAGATGGAGCTGCAAGTGTAGGAGCAGTCCAAGTCTGGCAATCTATCCTCGAGTTAGGGACTAAGATGCAAGTATTTAGTTAAATGACTGACGGTACAGAATAGCCAGTTGATGGTTGTCTTTTATCAACTGAAAAATAACAGGGGTGTTCAGTGGAGTAAATGTTACTCACTTTTATAGTTCTGAAATGTAGTTTAGAAATCAAAGGGCAAGCTGCCTGTATGTTGTCTGCCTTGGGAGTCAAAGAATCTATTAATTGAAGTATGTAGGAACTTTTTATAAGGTATATTGTTACAAACTAATATTGTGCAGTAAAGTTTCTTCTTATACCAGGGATGGCAGTAAGTGAAAGAGTCCCTGTATTTCCATGTGTTTCAAACATTGTTACTAGTTTAACTCACAATGCAATTTTTCCTCCAAAGGAAAACCAACTCTACCAACAATCACAAAGATAAAAACTTGCGCCAGAGAAACACAAATTAAGTACTGCTTATAATGTAAGTATGGCCTTCTAGAAATTTAAAAAATTATATTCAGTTGCATTTTACCTCTGTTGACCTTGTTACAAATTCAATAGTTGGTGTTATGTGGTAAGACCTTTTAAGTTCATTTCAGAGCAGTTGGTTCTGCTGAAACAAGTTCTCTGCTCAATTTAGTGGCAGAAAGGAACATTTTTCAGCTTTTACATAAATTCCATTTCAGAATACATAGGATGTTTTTAAATAAATACTTTGCACTACTTGGTTTATATCTTTTAAAAAAGAGAAAAAGAGTAAATTGTCACTTTAGGCAAATTGTTCCTAGAGGCCTGTTAGTGCTGCTTTACTTCTGAGGGCAAGGACAGGGACAGTGGCCAAGAAGCAACAGGGCTGGATACCATTCTCTTAGGCACATGGAGATCAGAATTTCACACCACATCCCTGAGCATGCTGTTTGAATCAAAGTTTATTTTATGTGGTGCTTGGTATAGTCCTGAAAGACAGTGCATATTCCCTTTAATTTCCAAATACATTTTTTTCCCCCCACAGATCTTTAGGTTCCTGAAACTGGTGGCATCATGACCTGCTAAATTTTCTGCTTGGACCTCTTTGGTCTCCCTTTTCAAAGTGAGCAACACCACAATGACCGTCTAAAGCATGCCTTATTTAGCCTCTCCTATAAGGGTGACCTAGCCAGGTACATTTTAAACAGTGCTTCAGTGTAGAAGGTGTAAACTATTTTGGGCTTGATGTGCTGTGAATGTTGCTTTCTTTCCTTTGTTAAAATATTTAAATAGAAGTGAAAAGGTCCTCTGAGGACCAGATCGTGCATGCGCCATTTTTTACTTAAAGCAGCTGTTAAATTGGCAAAGCTCTAAAATGCACTGCTGCCATCTAGTGATACATTTTTGTAAAGTACTCAAAACCTACAGATATATACAATATATAAATATATATATATATATATTTATATTTTTTGGGGTGGGAGAAATCCAAAATAAAATAAATGCTTGTTTCATGTTTAAAATGCTGATATTCATTCCTTATTGTATGTTGTCAGATGAGGAAATGTGCAGTTATGGTACATAAAGATAGATAATTTATAAATTCTGAAGTCTGTAATTTTAAGGGCTTAACCTACAACTTTAATAATATGATGGAATAGTCCACTGAAGGGATATAATGAATTGCAGTATATATGTATGATTGCTTTTAAGTGACTATTTTTTTCTTCTGTTAAATCATGTAAATTCTTAAATCCTTTTGCACTGATGTATTGAACTATTCTTGTATATTCGATCAAGGCAAATTTTATAATTTACCTTTTGTTTTCAATGACCTTGAGATGTTATAGCATGGTGAAACTATGCAACTCTAGTTATACTTTTTGGTTTGACACTATTTTTTCACATTGATTAATGGTTGATGGTAGATTTTATAACCTGACCAGGTTCTCATGCAGTACGTAACTATAGATGCATGTACTTGTGTTTTGTGTAATTGTTGAAGTGCAATGATGTATTAAAAAGTGGATTCACCTGTTTTTAACAATAAAACATTGACAAAAGGTGTTTGGAATAATACTCTTTACTATCTTTAACTTTTTAGGAGAAAGCATTTTTCAATACTTTAGAAGTTCCTTAGGTTTATGCATTTACATAGAACATTAATTTCTTAACCCCGTCAGCTTTTTAAGTTCCTTTTCTACCTCATCCACAAATGCTGGGAAGTTTTGATCCATGAGGCACAAGCGTAGAAAGGGGCCCAACTCTTCCACACCCCAGGCAGACTGTTCATAGACAAAGGGCAGCTCCTCCGATGCCAGGATAGACTGCAGGGATACCAGAAGAATAGTTTATTATAGGAGAAAAAGTAAAACCCTGAATAAGAAAACACACATACCAAAGATTAGTTGTTAGCTTTACAAAGAGATAGTTCTACTGTTAAATTCACCATTTTGTATTTATATTTTCCTGAATACATAGCAAATAAGATTGTATCCTTAAGGAAAGTATTTCAGACATGTTGTTCAAATGATCTGTAAAGTTGAGATCTTGCTAATAAATACTGTGTTGATATTGTGTGGACTGACAAGAAACCTATCAATGGATATAGTTGTATAGCTTAGTTCATCTTCCCATCACATAGGTGGCCAAATGGGTGGGAGTAGTTCATCATGTGGAAGCTAGTTTCTGAAGGGAAGAAAGAGGGTACAAACTGAATGCCCAAAGGACACAGTTAGCTCACACATGTCATTTTTCAGCTATATAAGGGATCTGATAAATAGTCAAAACAAAATACAGAACATTTCACATCCCCCAACATTCCCTCATTTTTGTCAAACCCTTAATATAGGTAACCACTGATCACCATGCCTTATAGTTCTGCCTTTTCCAAAATGGCATATACTCTAAATGAAATCATAGTACGAATGGTACCTGCCTTACTCTGGGTCAGCTTACAAATTTTGTACTTCATGATGATAAATAATGTAATACACGTTAAGTATACTTCACGTTTTGATCTCTACCCAGGCAGTGGTAAGCAGTGAGCTGCAGCTCCCCATCACTCATAGGATCACAAGGGGAAACCACCAACATTCTATAGTGTACAGTAATGTGTTCTGTAGATCAGGTATACTAAATGCATTTTTGACATAGGATATTTTCAATTTACAATGGTTTTCTCAGGATATAACCCCATTGTTAAGTTGAGGAGCATCTGAATGAATCTGTCTTCTTTCACTTAGCATTATGCATTTGAGACTATGTTAAGTATATGCAGAGTTTATTTCTTTTTATTGCCAAGTATCTATTGTTTGGATGTACCAGTTTGCTTATGCACTCTCTGATTGAAGACTGGGTTGTTTTGCTTTTTGCAATTATGAATAAAGCTGCTATAAATGTTCATATACAGGTTTTGGTGTGAACATAGGTTTTCATTTCACTTGGGTAAACTGGGACTGCTGGTCATATGGTAAGTATTTATTTAACTTTGTAAGTATTTATTTAACTTTGTAAGAAACTGCCAGACTGTTTTCACAGTGGCTATATCATTTTACATTCCATCAGTAGTGTTCCTGTTCAGTTGCTCCTCATCCATCCAGCACTTGGTGTTGTAAGTTTTTAATTTTAGCCGTTTTAGTAAGTATACAGTGATATCTATTGTGATTTTAATTTGCATTCCCCTAATAACAAATAATATTGAGCATCTTTTCATGTGATTATATTACATTTGTATGTTTTCTCTGGTAATTTGTAGTGTTTTAAAACCAGTTGAGTAGCCAAGCACATTGGCACAGGCCTGTAATCCCAGCCACTCTGGAGGCTGAGGCAAGAGGATTAGAAATTCAAGGCCAGCCTCAACAATTTAGGCCCTAAGCAACTATGTGAGACCCTGTCTCAAAAAGGGGGGGGCATGCTGGGGATATGGCTCAGTAGTTAAGTGCTCAGTTAAGTGCTGGGCTCAATTCCTGTACCCTGCCCTACTCCCTTCCCCCCCAAAAGGAAAACCAGTTGAGTAAATTGCCAGTGTTATTAGGAGAGTTTAAATAAAATCTGACTGTGCTTGACAATTGGAAGATCTGGCAATTCTGAACCCCTGTGGTGATAATGGTGGGCTCCAGCTCTGTTGGGAGCTGCTCTTTGATTTAGTTATTGTATTGATTCTTCACATTAATCCTCTGAGGTATGTGGTTTAATTCCTTTTATATGGATGGCATGATTTAGTGCATAGTGTACAATTGACATTTCCCTAGGAGCTATAATAGAAATTTACTTTGCTAAATTCATATCAGCTTTTCATTCTACCTAAATTTATATAGAAAAAATGAAAACAACTTGGAGCCCTATTCACTATTGAGAGCCACTTTTAACATGCCAGTGTATATCCTTCCAAAAGTAGTGCATGTGTTTATTACAGAAATGTGGTCATGATGCTGTTTTGTAGTTGTTTTGGGTTTGTTTGCTTTCCTCGTTTCCCTTGTAGTACAAGGGATTGAGCTCTGGAGTGCCCTACTACTGAGCTACATCCCCAGCCTTCTTTTTCTTTTCATTTTTGGTACTGGTGATTGAACCCAAAGGTGCTTTACGACTGAGGAACATTTTTAGCTCCTTTTATTATGAGTGTCACTAAACTGCTGAGGCTGGCCTCAAAATTGCAGTACTCCCACCTTAAGTTTCCTCCATCACTGGGATTACAGGCATGTGCCACTGCTCCCAGCTCCCAGCCCTTTTTTGAGACAAGGTTTCACCTTGCTTTGCTCATGCCTATCTCCTGAGTTGCTGGGATTATACATCAGACTTACAGCCACTTTAAAAAAAAAAAAAAAAATGCTTTGTAGTATCTTTCCCTGTCAGTGAGAGGGGCAACATCACTATTATTAATTACATTTTAATCTCACCACTTCAGCTACTCAGTATCCTATTAAATGAACATTATGTTGTTCTCAATTTGTTAAAAACAACATAATTTCTATTATAGCTCCTAGAGAAATGTCAGTTGTACACTATGCACTAAATCATGCCATCCATATAAAAGGAATTAAACCACATACCTCAGAGGATTAATGTGAAGAATCAATACAATAACTAAATCAAAGAGCCAAAAGTTAGCAGCTCCCAACAAAGCTGGAGCCAATGAACTACCATGTATATATTTTTGTGTAGCTGAAATGGAATTATAGGTAATGAAATGTTAAATTGGATATATTTTGCTAAATTGCCTTCTAAAAAGTTTTATCAGTTTACATAGGATCACTTGTCCAAAAGGTTAGAGCAAATTCATAACGGAGTCTCAAGCCCAGCCTCATGCTGTTTCTCATTTGTATATAGTTCTTCTATACTATATAAATAAACTAGGCTACTGATACCTCCCTTGTGAGGACATTACACCCTGCCTCTCTCCTTGACTTTTTGCAGTTCGAGTATTGTTGGAAATTGTGATTCAACCCCTAACCCCAAGGCCAATATGGACATTGAAGTCTTCCCTGCTGCTGAAAAAATTAGTTTTAAATTTTTGTCACAGTTGTTGGGTTATTAAAAGAAACAGACAAGAAGTCTGTGTCTTTTGGGGGGAAGAGTGCTGGTGACTGAAACTAGGCGTCACACATTGTAAACGTGTATTCTACCACTCAGCTGCACCCCTCAGTCCAAATCTTTTATCGATCTCAAGTTATTTATTTTGTGAATGTCCATTTATTGTGAGTTAGTGGTAAGCCAGATGGAGAAAATGCCCATATCTTCTATACCACTGAATATTGAATATTGATGAACTCTATGCAGAATTCTGTGGAAAGCACAAGTTGTTGGTTTGAGCACCTGCTGCCCAGTGCAGCCAAGATGAAGGAGACAGTCTTCATGGAGCTCCCAGCAGAGAGAACATCAAGCAGTTGTGATTCTGAATGAAGAGGTTTTTGCAGGAGGACACTTTGGTGATAGCAAACTGCAAGAGGCCAGGAACTGTCTGAAAGCAGTCTAGGAAGCTTAGGTGACTCCTACATACCCTTAGCTGAGGTCTGAGCACTCAAGAGTTTGTCCCTATAGAAACCTCTAGAGATTTAGTTCCACATTCACTTTGATAATTGTTTTAGAATAGTTCCCTTTATTTTTTTGGGGAAAATGGTGATTAACCTTTATATCTCACGTTCAACTCTTCTTATTTCCTTAGGGATTTTCTGCATATGTGCCTTGCTGTCTAATCTCACAGTAGGGGTGGATGACAGTGGCCTGTGTCTGACATTACCTTCTATAATAACGATTTAGGTTTCTGTTCTAGTAAACAGAAATACAAATTCTTAGGGACCATTGCTTTTCATGACAAGAACACAACATAGAAACAGGCTCTACCTGAGCTAATTGCATCACTGAGGTCCTTTCCTCTGCAGTGCCTGTGCTGGCTGCCACACACCTCTGCTGTTCCATGTTCTGGTGGGACTAGAATAAAATATGTAGTTAGGAGACTAGACTTAAGACACAGGCCATTGAAGTGGACATACATTCTCTTCAAATAAAAGAGTGTCAGTAAAGCAATCGTTAGTCATGCTCCATGTAGGTCCATGCTGGTAATGGGTTACTTATCTACCACGTAGAAGTACCTGTTCCTAGTGTTCTCAGTGTCTATTGGGCTGTTAGCTACCTTCTCATCAGACACTTCTGGCCGGGCCCACAAAGGACTGGCCCAAGAGTCATAGCAGCACCCAGGGAGGTAGGCAGACAGACGAGGCCCAGCTTCTGACTGACACATTTGCACCTTCTAAAACTTGTTATTCAGTGTAATGTGTTAATTGCAGAAATGCAAAATGAAGAGAAAAATTCTATAATTTTGAGACAACTGTATTTTTAATAAAACTTTTTTTTTTCATTTCAGACATTGTGAAGGAATGAGTTCAATAAAATTCCTAGATATTCCCACTCAATAACTGTTTGTACGTACTCTATATTAGACACTGTGCAATGTGGGGATGGGAGTTAAGGAACAAGCTAGAGATCCTGCACCCTAGTAGCATAAAACCTAGTGAGAACCAAGCAAGGAAGCCTGGTCACCCTGCAGCTCAGCACTGGAAGGGAGGATGTGCTAGTGCTTGTCACAGGAAGGGAAACTGGTGGCTCTGCGGGAATAATGTGAGGAGTCTAGAGGGGCAAGGTCCAGCTACTGCTCACTCAGTGCTTGTCCAGAAACACTTGTGGCAGTTGCTATCTCCAGCCAAGCAGTGTTCTTGCATTAGGTGAGCTAACAATGTGATAGGGGAGGCAGAGAATGCCAGATTCTGTCTTCTGTGTGACACCTGCCTTTTGAGAGTAGGTAGAAAATTGGAAGTGTCAAAAGAAATGGGAAGACAGAAAGGAAGAAAACAAAACTAGTCAATGTTAAAATGAGCAAAAAGACCAAGGCACTTGATAGAAAGGGCCTATAGACAAGCCCTATTTCTCTGTTGAATTTCTTCAGTTTTCTCATTTATAAAAAGAAATTAATATATCTAGTCTTCCAGGTCTAATATTTGAGTTTTCTTAGGATACCTATAAATTCAGCTCGCACACAATTCAAACAACTGAGAACAATGTTACCCAAAATTCTATGCCAAAAACACTGGCCAAGTGGGACTGAAGCCCTTGAGGCTAGTGTGCTCTAGGAAGAGGCAATCCACCCCACCAACTGCAGAGAGAAGGAGGATTCTTTGTATCCAACTACTAGCATCCATGGCCACTTTCTTCTGAACTTTTTATGCTAACAAGGGAGGAAGTTCACATACAAACTTCAGTGCCCCCCTCCTATCTTTCCTACCTTCTATTCTGGGGTGGGCTGGGTTGCCTCAGGAGCCCTCAGAAACACCTGGTTAGGCCGCAATTAACAAAATTACAAGGCTGAGGAAAAGTAAAAACTACAACAGGAGCCAGGAAATGACTCAAGAACTTTTAAATAGACATGGAATTATCCCTATTTGCAAAGAAGGGAACTATTTTAGACTAAAACATATATAGGTACTGGAAAAATGACACCTGAATGTAGGAGAGCAGCAGGGTGGCCAGAACTTGGCCACACCTTACAACTCTTCAGGTAAACTCTGAGAAAAGGATCATGACACCAAATGTGTACACTAACCATTAGGGGCCCATCTGAGAATTTTTTTTGTCATTAGGAAGACAATGTTCTAGGCAGTGCCTCTATGTCTGCAGTCCAGAACTGACCTCTCCAACTTGTCTTCTGCTGTACAGATATTGTGTAGCACCCAGGCCCACCCCAGAATGGAGGTTGGGAAAGACAGGAAGGGGGGTTGCAGTTTGCATGTGAACTCTTCCCTTTATTAGCATAAAAAATCCAGCAGAAAGTGGCCACCAGGGCACCAGCAGTTGTGTACCCAGAACCTTCTCCCTCCTTGACCTGGATGCTAATTGGTTCATTTGCAAGGAAAGGCAGATCTGAAAAGGTAACAATACTGGAAATAATAGCAATAATGTAATGTGATTTAGGTTAGGTTTAGCAGGTGCAGTACTCATTCTTTTCTATGCAAAATTTTACTTTCGCCATTCTACAGTTGAGGCTTGGTGGCTTGCAGAGATCACAGAGCTACCAAGAACTAGGGCCAGGATTCTAGCTTCAATCTGTTTGGATTCCAAAGCCTGTGGTCTTTGTACAATATCATGCTCTCTCATCTAGTCAGAACAGCAAGTTACATATCAGAAGAGTCCCTGAATATAGACCCAAGAAAATACATGAAAGCTTTCTAACCACTTTCAGGGTATTTCTGTGTAGACATTAGGACCAGCATTTAAAATTAGAGAGCTGGAGAATTCATCTGCACTAGCTCACAACTCAGCCTACATGCATCACCATGGGGTACAACTGCAATTTATCTTGTATTTTAAAATATTTAGATAATTAAGTAGCCTAATGTGTCTTCATTACTTTTATAAGGCATTCCAAATTTAGTTCCCAAACCGTGGGATCCTACTGGGTTCCTGCTGCTACACTCCAGGCATTGGGTAAATTATACATAATCTGAATCTAATGGCCAATGAAAACTGGAAAAAAAAAATTCAGTTTGAGGGCAAGGACTCATAAGCAATAAAGTACTTCACAGTAAACCATCCCATCCCATTTGTATGGAGAGCACTCTTAAAGAATACAGCAGGAGCTGATGAGGCACATTGTATGTAATTGGATCCAGTGTCTGTGAGACAAGCTCCAGCATTTTCACAAAGAAGATCAAATGAAGGGAAAGAATACTAAAACACCAGAATCTGGCAAACCAAACACATTCAGAGGGAAATCAGCACATGCTTAATGAAAAAAAACTTTACAATGTAAATTAATGTTCACCTAAGAGAAATTATGAGTGACAATACAGACAATGTACATTTATATTCACATCAAAAGGTGAATGAAAAGAAATTTTGTGAACAAACAGCAAAAATGAATTGTCTTGGTGAAGGGGAACTAAGGAGATAAAGGGATTGGAAAACCAGACTTTGGAAAATCACTTCTCAAAGTAGAAAACAAAAAACCCAACTTGGAACTGGAAATCCATCTCCAGAGCAGAGGTAGATGCTCATTTTAACAACATTTGGGGCTGTGCCCAAGAAATGCTGAGATACACTTTCAAACTTTCTATCTCTAGATCCTCTTGCCCTCTCACATGATACTGAGGGCCTCACCTCACTTGAGTTATAAATTAAAACAAAACTTTACTCACTTAAAACTCATTGGATATTAACATTAAAAACATTTTTATAAAAATAACACTTTTCTAAAAACAAAATGTAAATATTTCTATAAATCTCTTTACCATCTAGCTCAATAAAAAGTAGCTGGATTCTTCTATCTGCCTTTGCAAGCAATCTGCTGTTGCATGTCATTTTAGCTCAAGTACTCAAACAAAATCTGACCTTACACACACATGAAGATGGAAGACTGAGTATTTTAAAACAGCTTTTTCATATAATTGCAGGTATTCTTGATATGACACCCAAACCTAAGTGGTGGTTGTTTAAATGTTTTATGCAACATAAAATCTGAAACCACAGTAATGAACTACTGTTACACTAAAATCCACTGGTCTATCTAGCATTTTGAACAGCTGTTTTATCCACATATAATTTTGTAGCAAATGCACAGGTCATTTGGAAAATATTAGTTCAATGAACTACACAAATCTTCCAAAGGTTAACACATTTCATGATGTCATCTGTTTATTTAAAAAAAAAAAATGTCATGTTCATTAAGCACCCTCAGAAAAGTCACCTGGATTAGGAAAGTGTGAAGCTCATATGGTTTCGACACAAGCTTTCCAAGATTTTAACTTCTACTTGAAAGCTTCCATTTTATCATTGTCAATAAATACTAGCAGTTGCTATCCTGTAGTGAGAGGCTCACTTCATTCATTTTGAGAAGGCCTCCATCAAACACCCAAATCTGAATGACCCTTGTGTCAGGGGTACCCTGGTGTAGTGGTAATGTGCCACAAGAGAACAGTCAGTGCAGCTCACGATGCAAGTGCCACTCAGGTGCTTTCCTGAAAAAAACCATGGTTGTTTTTACTGGAGTAACCGGTGAAGAATCTGACTGCTGGCATAGCATGGTGCCATTGCTTGGTTTGTACTGACAGTAGCTGTACTCAGGATGTTTGTCCCATCCATGTGGACAATGAAAATGTGAAAATGGCAAGCAATGTCTTATGATTATGTAAATAACAACCTGTGGGCTAGGTGAAAGGACTTCAAGAGAGGGGTCCATGGACCACACATTGGGAAGCACTGTTCTGTAGTGACACCCAGAATGCAGCTGAGACTCCCTGTCTCATTTCTAGGATTATAATCAGTTACAGTGGTTACTGGCCTTCCAATTTTAAAGTCACTCAACATTAGGTATCTTTGAACTACAAACCCAATAGGTCTGACAATTCTGTTGAGATTTGGGGGCCCATCCACACATTACACTGCCAGGTTTCCTGCATGGCCAACGCCCAGCATACTTACCCCATGCTGCACTGGGGACCTCTTTGCACAGTCCTTCCCTTGGCTTCCACCTGCCCATGGGCCAGGTCTTGGATGGAGCTCCTGAATGATTCCCTCGGGCATCTGAACAGTTACATACTGGGACAGGTTTTGCACACAGTTGCAGCAGTGTTCCAGCGCTTGTTCCTTGGACTCCCCACCAAACTGTATGCGAAACATGCGGCTCTTATTCTGTTTGACAAATCAAAAGTTATCCTGAGAGACCCTTGTCGTATCACTTGATCATGATTTTTTTTTTTTTCTTGGTACCAGGGATTGAACCCAGGGGTGCTGAATCACTGAGCCACATCCCCAGTCCTTTTTTATATTTTATTTAGAGACAGGTTCTCCTGAGTTGCTCAGGGCCTTGGTAAGTTGCTGAGGCTGGCTTTGAACTCATAATCCTCCTGCCTCATTCTCCCAAGAAGCTGGGATTTCAGGCGTACACCACTGCACCCCGCCTTGACTTTGATTTATTGTAGGGTTTTCTAGTGAGTGGGTTCCCTTTGCCTGGAAAGGGCAGAGCAGCACATGTGGAAGCAATAATCCTTGCTTGTTAGTGGAGGTACAGAGAAATCAAAAATTTGTTTCCTTCTCCCTCTGGAAGTTATTCCTCATAGTGAAATTCATTTCCCTTAGGGAACTAATACCAGCAAAAATGGAAAAGTCTGTACATAAAGACAAGGAAGGTCACTATAGTGGCTGCAGTGGAAGATCAATGCTTTGTCTTGCTTTGGAATACAAAATTTAGAGCTTCAAATTCCTTAAATGGAGAATCAGGATAATGCTGTATAATCTGGCTCAACAAAAAATTTCTAAACTGAAAAAATGAAAGCACAAACCTGGTAGATGCCACATTAAACAAGGCAGTGAACTTAACTAGTACTGGAGAAGAGGGTACAGGCAAATGCTGACAGCAAATGTCATAAATAATCTCTGGTGCCCTTTATCCTTGGGAGGCCAGACCACCACACAAGTCACACAGGGACTGGGGTCTTTAATTTGGTATGAGTTACATCCCTTGGCAAATTAGCAAATTAGTTACATCCCTTTGCTAATTTGCCAAGGGATGTAACTCATACAACAAATTAAAGACCCCAGTCCCTGTGTGAACAGATGCCATTAAAATTTTAGTAAAATCTGCCAACTACAAAGTTACTTGATTGTAAGTTTAAAAAACAGACCCAAACTGTAACATAACACAGAATCATTAGTTTAGTAGTAGTATCCTCTTTCTAGTCTAATATTCTGCCTAGTGTAGATGAGTCAACTTGGATAAAAGCTACCCCAAACAGGACTGTATTTGTTCAGTTTCTTCTGTAAAGAAATGCACGTGCCAATATCAACATAGTGACAGTCCTTTTCACTTAGTGAATATATAAACCACATTGCTACTGTGAAAACATTTCTAATTAAGCCATTGAAATCCTGAAAGTTTCTATCAGCAAATAGTCCCTGATTTTCCTATTCACAATTTATACTATTTCAGTACATTCATCAAGGGGTTAGGGGTGTAGCTTAGTGGTGTAGAATTGCCTAACATGAAGAGATCCTAGATTCAATTCCCAGGACTTCACAAATAATTTAAAAATCCATTAAGCAAAGCCATGTGTTTAGGTTCTGGGGCACTGGGCATGACTCAGAAATTTTAAGGTATCACAGTCAGAAGAATAGATGTCCCTACCCCTTTTTATTGATAATGTTGGCTTCTTTTGGAAAGTTTGAATTAATTTTTTCCTTGCATGTAAAAGTAATCTATTATCATTACCCCCTTTGATACTGAAAAAAACTATGAAAAAGAAATATTCTCATATATACACATATGCATGCACATGTTTTATGTACATATAATAACAAAATCGTACATAAATATGTAAAAATATATAATACATAATATATAGGTTATATATATTGTGTACGTATATTTTAAGCCACACTGCTGTTCTGTAACCTAATTTTTTATTTAACAATAAGTATGTAAAAATAGAAGTGTACCTCATTACTTTGAAAGGCTGAAGAGTATTCCTTTATTTAACTGGCCCCCTACTGACAAACATTTAGGTTATTTCCACCCTTTTTTCCTATTATAAACCAAAAGCTTTGAGTTAAGCACACTTATACATACATCTTTGTATATAAATGCCTAAAAGCAGACTTGCTGGGTCACAGAATATGTATATTTCATAGTTTGGTACATAATGCCACACTGCCCTGTAGCAAGAGAGGATCAATTTATTCCCACTAAAAGTATGTACCCATTTCCCTGAACCCTCCAACACTGGAGATTCTTATTCCTTTTAACTTTAACCAACATGGATGTTAAAATTTTTGTTTCTTTCATTACAAGTGAGGTTGAATTATCCTCCTCCCCCTCCCTCTCCTCCCTCCCTCTCTCGTTTTGGGGATTAAACCCAGGGACACTCTACCACTTTTTTGTTTTTTATTTTGACTGAGTTGCTGAAGCTGGCCTTGAACTTTCCATCTTTCTGCCTTAGCCTCCCAAATAACTGGGATTACAAGTGTGAGCCACCATGCCCAATGAGGCTGAACATTTTTCTTACACTTACTGGTCATTTGTATTTTTTCTTTTGTGTATTGCCTGTTCAATACCCTTAGCCAGTTTTCTCTTGGATGAATAATCCCCAAATTATGAAGAGTAATTAAAAGCTAACTTTCCCTGAGGAAGGGAAAAGAACTGATAAGAGAATTATACTTTCAGCTTATAGTAATATCTGTTTGCTTTTATTATTAATATCTATTAGGATTTTGTAATTGTCTAATTAACCTTTTGAGTAACAACACATCAAAACTTGTACTTCATAGCCAGCTGAAAAGCTTGTATGCACATGCAGACAGATACTAATTATAAACAGAGTAAAAAATCTGAGACCAATTATGTAAGTCTAGAGGCACCTACATGTGAGTGCACTAAGAATCAGTTTGGTAGGGCTGGGGTGTAGCTCAGTGGTAGAGCCCTCCTAGCAAGCATGAGGCCCAACACCCCCTACTACCACCACCCAAAAAAAAAAAAAAAAAAAAAGGAAGAAAGGGAGGAAGGGAGGGAGCAAGATTCCAGGCAGGAAGTATCAGTTTGGATAGTTAAGGTTGCTTTGGAGTGTACTTCCAAAAAGGTAGGAGGTTATATATCTGATGGTCTTGTTCCATGTTTGCTTCTATAAAATTCTCAGAATTTCAGCTTATCATCTGAAGTCAGAAATACTCCTTTCAATGCATGTGGACCCAAGATAAAGCCAATGTACATCAGGAAAAAAATCTGAAAACAAGTTGTATCTTCATCATACATCCTTAATGTCATGGGGTATCACAATGGATAACCAAAAGGACTGCTTGGCTTGAAGAGATGTTTTTTGTAATACTAATACTTAAAAGTCTGAAAGAACAATTTGCTTTGAAATGAATTATACCCACAGTCATGAAGTGCCCCAAATTTCCAGTTTCGATTATCTAAGGAGGTCAGCTCATAATTACTGTATTTTAAGTTGTGGTTTACATGATAAGTTGTATCCACCCTACTACCAAATACTTAATTTCAAGTTATAAGAACTTACAGAAAATGCCATTTTGCACAGACTTCTTTTTTAATATTTAGTTAGTTAGTTGTAGTTGGACACAATATTTTTATTTATTTATTTTTTATGTGGTGCTGAGGATCGAACCCAGGGCCTCACACATGCTAGGCGAGTGCTCTACCGCTGAGCCACAACCCCAACCTTGCACAGACTTCTTGAGGAAACAAAAGTTAAGGACAAGTGCCAATCTCTTTTACACTTAACTACATGTACAAGAAAACCAAGACTTCAATTTAAGGAGGGAGCAAGCCCCTATGTGCTGCTGCAGGCATGCTTTATCTACAGCCTCTGTAGCAGATGGCTGACAGGCATCAGGCACCTGGGATACTAGCACCCAGGTAGCACTACATCACAGAACAGCAAGGGAGATATCAGAGGTCTCAAACTCAGGGGCTTTTCTACTGGTTTCAGATTCATTACCTAGATCTGTAATGTCTCCAGCACCACCAGGATACCCAAATGGAAATTTTCTTCATCACTAATGGTGACTTCCTATACTACAGAAAATACATGGCAAAGTACCAATAAAAGACTTAACCAGTGCTATGGCTTGGATATGGTTTGAATGAGTCCCCCAAGAGATCATGTGTTGAAATTTAATCCCCACCACAAGGCATCGAGAGGGTGGACATTTAATCTGACTGCTCTTTAAAGGTGTGTTTTGGGAAGTGATTAGGATTAGATAAATTCATGAGGGCAGAGCCCTAGGATTGAATCCTTTACAAGAAGAGGAAGAGAGGCTAAACAGTGTGTGCTCCCTGGGTCTTGCTATGTGATGCCCTGTGCCATTTCAGGATTCTGACAGCAAGAGGACCATCATCAGATGTGGTCTTAGACCCCCAGAACCGTTAACTAACTAAAGTAATATAAAATGGACTTAATAAGACCAGAGGATGAACCTGAGTATTTTCTTTACTTTGAAACATATCCTCAAAGCCTAGGACAGACAAAATCATCAAAAAATTCTTCAGTGGCCACTAGGGGAGAGAAGTAAAAGAGAACAGTAGCTTAGGTTCACTCCTTTGAGCCCAAAGTGCCCTTCAGATAAAGAATTATATGTCTACCATTAGCTGATAAGCCAGGATCTATTTGCTCAGAATTGCTAAAAAAAAAAAAAAAAAAAAGCAGCCGTAATTTACTAAATCTGTGATTTCAACCTCCCTTAAAAGACATAATTCATTCAAATCTATGAATGTTAATCCAGAGAGAAAAGAAATATAATGTGTATTACCTACAGAATTTAAGTTTTATTAAACTTCTGTTAAAAGAATAAAATTTTGCTTCCAACATCTGTCCGTTTAAATAATAGTGTATGCTACATAATACTTAGTAACTAAAAGTTATCCAAGGCAAAAAGCACCAAAAATACTCCTTGACAGGTAAGGCAAAAAGAAGCATCTGATGATGTTTTTGTTTTGTTTTTACAACACCTTTGTTTTATTTATTCATTTTTATGTGGTGCTGAGGACCAAACCCAGGGCTTTGCACGCGCTAGGCAAGTGGTCTACTGCTGAGCCACAACCCCAGCGCTGCCCCGCTCCCCCTGCAGCTGATGGTTTAATATTATTATATGACATCAAGTCAATAGATCAAAGGTAGGAAAAACAATATCATCTTGATAGACTCAAAAAGCATTTGCTAAAATTTAATATGTAATATTGAAAAAGTATTAGCAAATAAACTATTATTGAAAGAACATCTCCCTTACATAGTAAAGAATATACAATCAACAGCTAGAGTTGTACTTAATGTTTAATACTACTTCCTGAAGCCGGGTGCGATAGCACACACCTAAAATCCCAGAGACCTGGGAGGCTGAGGCAGGAGAATCCCAAGTTTAAGGTCAGCTTCAACAACTTAGCAAGACCCTGTCTCAAAAATAAAAAGGGCTGGGAATGTAGCTCAGTGGTAGAGCACCCCTGGGTTCAATACCCAGGATATATATCTTATATATATAACCTCAAAGCCTAGGACAGACAAAATCATCAAAAAATTCTTAAGGTCAGCTTCAACAACTTAAGTTTACTTATGTTCTTTATCTCAAAAGAACTATCTATATATATCTTTTGAGATAAAGAACATAAGTCAAAGGTTACCAACCTTAATTTTTTTTTTTATACTAGGGATTGAACCCTGGGTGTTTTACCACTGAGCCACACCTCTAGCCCTTTTTATTCTCTACTTTGATACAGGGTCTCACTAAATTGCTTTGGGCTTTGCTAAGTTGTTGAGGCTGGTCTTGAACTTTCAATCCTCTTGCCTCAGGCTCCAGAGTCTCTAGTTGTTCCCCATTCCAGCCTTAAATATTTTAAAAATATCTATATGTGATATATACTCAACTATATTAAAACATATAGCTATGCAGATTACTCTATACACATAGTATCTAAATACTTTAAGAATTAAAGCAAAAAAAGTAGATGATTCTCAGAAGAAGTACAGATTCTAACAATGTTCATTCTCATTAGGAATCAAAGAAATGCAAATTAAAGGAATATGCTCATTTCTACTTCAAATTAGAATCTAGTTGGTAAATTTAAATTATATCACCGTCTTGGAGAGGATCTGGATAAGTGAATATTCAATACACAGCTAGTGCAGTAGAAACAGGGACAACCTATCTGGAGGGCAAATTTACAAGATAAATGTTCATACTTCTAGGATTTCTATTTCAAGAACCCTCTAAATTTAATGAAAATCAGAACATTTTTAATAGTGAACAATTGGAGATTAGTTAAATCATGGTGTATTCAAAGAGTAATATGCTACACAGCTATTATGAATGTTTTTAAAGACTACATGATAATTTGATATAATGTCCCCTGATTTAATGCTATATGACAAAATAGCAGAATATTACAATCTTATTTTTATGAATTATGTATATGGCAGACACTGTTAATTGCCATAAGTCAATCCAAAGGAGAGACTGGAAAAACCAAACACTAGTCTTTGCAGTCTATGACAGACACATTGCAGACATCTAGCGGTTGCTGGAGGGAGAGAACCTTATAGGAGATGCTGACCTTTCTCAAATGGAAATATAATAGAGCTGCCACTGCCATTTTACAACTGTGAGGAACAGGCCGAGAGAGAGACATTGAGCTTGACACTGCTGAGCTGCTAAACCAATGCTGGAAATGGCCTATTTTTAAATTATTTATTTATTTATTTATAGTACTAGGAATTGAACCCAGAGGTGCTCTACCTGTGAGTTACATCTCCTGCCCCTTTAATTTTTCATTTTGAGAACCGGACCTCACTAAGTTGCTAAGGCTGACCTCAACCTTAGGATCCTCCAGCCTCAGCTTCCTGAGTAGCTGGTATTACAGGCATGTGCCACCATATCTGGCTTTGATTTCTTATTAAGTGAAAAAAAGAACTATGTGTGTGTGTGGGGGGTCATTATAGCTGAGTTTTTTATTACATTCATCTGAACACAGTCCTAATGTATGCCTAGTCAAAATTCTAAAATGTTAATAATGGTTACTTTTGAGGAGTCACATTACAGTTGGTTTTTACTTTGCACTTTATACTTCACTAAAATTTTTAATAATCTGGGCACAGAGTCATACACCTGAAATCCCAGCAGCTTGGGATACTGAGGCAAGAGAATTGCAAGTTCAAAGCCAGCCTCAGCAATTTAACAAAACCCCATCACAAAATAAAATATAAAAAAGCACTGGGGATGTGGCTCTGGGTTCAATTCCTAGTACAAAAAAAATTTTTAAATAATAATATGTAATTAGAAAATATTAGAAGTCAAATATCAAACAAAGAACATGGGTGACTTTTAAAACACCAAAGCATTCATCCAGTCCTAAGCTGAGAGTCAGAAGACCAATGGGCAGCTGGTTCCCTGAGAGCTAGTCTTAACCTTGGCTATTGGCTTACATCTAATTCAGTTTCTTCATATGTAAAATTTAGACAGGGGTTCTTGAACGTTTTGGAATGTGTGCCCCAGAACCCTTTGGTAGTCTGGTGAGACAGTGAATCTTTCTCAGAACAATGCTTTTAATCAGATAAAAGGCAAAGAAAAACAACCAATTATAGTAAATTAGTTTATCACAATATTAAAACACTAATTTGTGAACTGATAGGATATGCTTCTTTATTAACATATTCAATAAAAGGATTTAAAAGTAGAACTAACAACCATCTTAATTTTGAGGTTTGATGAGTATAAATGACATCTGAGATATCTCAAACAACTATAACGTGATATGAAATTACCTGTGATAGCCATTGATGGGAAGGTCTAACACTACTATGCTCTGTAAACTACTTTCATAAATAGAAGGAAATGATAAATTTCAATTAGAGGTCAGTGAAAATCCCTGCAAGTTCATGGATACCTTGAACTCTGTGGGGACCATCTGGAGGTCTGTGCACCCCAGGGTAAGACCCCTCCATTAGATGCACCTGAAGACTTCTTCCTCTTTCAATTCTCAAGGTCTACACATTCGTTAAAAATTAGTATCTTTCACATAAATTTCAATATTATTTACTCAGTGAATGTTAACAGATTGATTTTTATAGTTATAAAAGAAAATAATCTTTTATAGTTATGAAAGAAAATAATCCAGGTGATTTATTTGCATGTTTCTTTGATGAGGTTCATTCTTTATGTTTAATACAGCTAGAAGGCAAATAAAGGGGAATTATATTTTTAAATATTAAACAGGGAAAAACTAAAAAGACATATTCAGTGAAGCATTCAACTATATACACCTTTTAAAACATCTAAGGAAGAAGCCAACACATGCTGTATGCCATCTCTTCCCGGTTTGTGCTTGGGGGACTGAGAAAGGTTGCACAGCTCCACTTGACATATGGTGACAAATCCACCAAAGCCTTTCACTTTTCGAGATATCCCTTGCTACTGAGGCTTCTGCCTTTATAGCCCTAGTTTCAAGTTTGGCTCACAATGCAAACCCTTCTTCAATATGTGTGTTCTTCCCAGCACCCATTTTCTACAGAGAGAAGCCCCGTATACCCCACCATTCACACACTGTAGATGAGAAAAGACTGATCATTAGCTTAAAAATAGTTGGCTACACAGCCCACTTTATCTTGCCTTTATTGTTGTGCCAAACAACAGACAATCCATGCGTCTTACGATCTTCAACCAGTTCTTGCTATCAACGAGTGAAAAGCCTTCCTGCAACAAAGTAATTAGGCAAAATTAGCAACAGAAGCAAAAAGGGACATGAGGAACAATTACGGTATAGCTGTTTCCTATTAAAAAGTTGTGTACCAATTTGCAGTTCCACCAGCAATGTATGAGTGTACCTTTTCCCCCACATCATCACCAACATTTACTGGTGCTTGTAGTCTTGATAATTGCCATTCTGACTGGAGTGAGATGAAATCTTAGAGTAGTTTTGATTTGCCTAATTGCTAGAGATGTTGAACATTTTTTCATATATTTGTTGATTGATTGTATATTTTCTTCTGTGAAGTGGCTGTTCAGTTCCTTAGCCCATTTATTGATTGGGTCATTTGTTTCTTTGGTGTCAAGTTTTTTGAGTTCTTTGTATATCCTGGAGATTAGTGCTCTATCTGAGGTGCAGGTGGTAAAGATTTTCTACCATTCTGTAGGCTCTCTCTTCACATTACTGATTGCTTCCTTTGCTGAGAAGAAGTTTTTTAGTTTGAATCCATCCCATTTATTGATTCTTGATTTCACTTCTTGTGCTTTAGATCCTAAGCCAACATGGTGAAGATTTGGGCCTACTTTTTCTTCTATTAGATGCAGGGTGTCTGGTCTAGTGCCCAAGTCTTTGATCCACCTGGAGATTCCTCAGAAAACTTGGAAAGAAACCACCATTGGACCCACCTATCCCATTCCTCGGTTTATACCCAAAAGACTTAAAATCAGCATATTACAGTGATACAGACACATCAATGTTTATAGCAGCTCAACTCACAATAGCTAAACTATAGAACCAAC